TTAGGGACGGGAGGTCTGGGGAAGGGGGGAGTTATTGCTTAAGGAGTGTTGAGTTTCTGTTTCTGTGATGGGAAAGACTATGCTGGATATTGTTAATGGCAGCACAACTTGATTGACACAATTGGTTTATTGAATTATACATAAAAAATGTCTAAATGTATTATCTGTATTCTTACAACATAGAAGAACTCAATGGGGAAAACGAATCTATTTAGGTTACTTCCAAAGACTTCCCCTAATAAAATATAAACCTTGCCCCTGACTTTCTCCAACCTCACTTCCTGTCCCTCTCCTTCCTCAGCCAACCTGACCGTCTTGTGTTTCCAAAACTCCACGAAGCTCACCCCTACCTCAAGTTCTTCATCCTTGCTATGGGCTTGGCCTATAATGTTCTGTCTCTGGATCTGCCCCCGGGACTTGTTTCTCTATATCTTCCTTTGCTCAAAGGTCTCATTAAAGACACCATCACAGGCCAGTACCCATCACTTTGCATTTTCCTGCTTATTTTTTCTTTTCTTTTTTGAAAAAGTTAATTTTGTTATTGTTGAGAATATACAGCAAGTCATTCACCAATTCAACAGTTTCTACATGTTCCATTTAGCGACACTGATTCCAGTCCTCAAATGCAGTCCTTCTCATTTTCCTTTCCTGAGGTGTTTCTGGCCCCCTAAATTCACTGTTCCCTAAGGTTGCTATGTGATACTTGGAGCTGTCCATTTCATCCCATATCTGCAGATCTTGACCAAGCACTATGCTTAAGTCAGACTGTTTTCATCTCACTATTTTAGCTAAACTACTATTTGGTTTTGAGAAGACTTCAGGGGACACTTTTGAGTTAAGTTTTGAAGATTATCTCCGTGAATTGTTTCATCCCGCTTCCATGGCTTAAGAATGTCTGGATTCCATGAATATATGAAATTCTGTTTGGCATTTTCTCCCTTTCAATCAGGATTCTTCTACAGAGCCTTTTATTAAAATGTTCAGTATTGCTAGCTGGATACCATCTAGTTCTGGTCTCATGGCAAAGGAGACAGCTGCTTGTGGACTCAATTAGCCATACATTACACTTCCTTCTCTGGTCCTGATTTTCCTTCTTCCCCTGTTGTTCCAGGTGGCAGTGTTCCTGTTAGTTACTGGTGCGTTGGCTCTGGCTCATAGTGACCCTATGCATAACAGAATGAAACATCGCCACAGCCTGCACCATCTTCACAACTGTGGTTACATTTGAGCCCCTTACTGCCACTGTGCCAACTGATTTTGTTGGGAGTCTTCCTCTTTTTTGCTGACCGTCCACTTTACCAAGCATGATGTCCTTCGTCAGGGACTGGTTCTTCCTGATAACACATCCATAGTATGAGAGATGAAGGAGCTGGCTTCTACGGAGCATTCTGGTTGTACTTCTTCCTACACAGATTTGTTACTTCTTCTTGACAGTCCATGGGACTTTCAACACTCACCTCCCAAACCAGAATTAAAATACATCGATTCTTCTATGGTCTTCCTTATTCACTGTCCAACTTTCACACGCACAAGAGGCAATCGAACATACCATGGTGTGGGTCAGGGGTACCTTAGTCCTCAGACTGATATCTTTGCTCTTGAACTCCTTGAGCTCCCAGTACTGGAAGACCATGTCCAATGTTGTCCCTCCCACCAAGCATAATCTCTGGGATGCTCTGTACACAGCCTTGAAAGTACCACCTCATCCTGACTGAGAGAGCCAAGCTGCTGATGGAATAAGAGCTCTTTTGCAGCAGATTTGTCTGATGTAATATGTTGTTTAATTTCTTGACTGCTGCTTCCATGAGTGTTGATGGTTGATCCAAGAAGAATGAAGTCGCTAACAACTTTAATCTTTTCTCCATTTATCATGATGCCATTTATTGGTCCAGTTGTGAGGATTTTTGTTTTCTTTAACTTGAGGTGCAATCCATTCTGAAAGCTGTGATCTTTGCTCTTCATCAGTATTTTAAGTCCTCTTGGCTTCCAGCAAGCAATGTTGCATCATCTGCATATTGCAGGTTGTTAATGAGTCTTCCTCCAATCCTGTTGCCACATTTTTCTTCATAGAACCCAGTTTCTCAGATTATTTGCTAAGTATGCAGATTGAATAAGTATGGTTAAAGTACACAACCCTGGTACACACCTTTCCTGATTTTAAACAATTCAGCGTCCCCTTATCTGTTCAAGCAACTGCCTCTTGGTCTGTGTACAGGTTCCTCATGTTCTGCAATACCTATTTTTTGCCATTTTATCCTTAATTGGCTATGAGCTACAGTCGAATACCTTTGCATAGTCGAGAAAGCACAAGTAAATCTGAGTGGCGCTGTACAATAATGCACTGGACCATAGGTCGGTTTGAACCACAGTCGGCAGTTCAAACTCACCAGCCGCTTCTTATAAACCCCTATATAGGGCTGTTCTGTAGTCAGAACTGACTCAACAGCACTTTACAACAACAATACACCTTTTTCTGGTACTCTCGGCTCTTAGCCAAGTCCATCTGACATCAGCAATGATATCCCTAATTTCATGTCTTCTTCTGAATCTGGATTGAATTTCTGGCAGGTCCCTGTTGATGTATTGCTGCAACTGTTTTTAAATTATCTTCAGCAGAATTTTACTTGCATGTGATATTTATGACATTGCTCAATGATTTTTGCATCCCATTGGGTTACCTCTCTTCGAAATGGCCACAAATATGGATCTCTTCCAATCAATTGGCCAGCTAGGTGCTAGGAGTTGGTGTTGTTTTTCAAATAAACTTTTATTGTGAACTGAGTGAAGGTTTACAGAACAGATCATCCATTTTACATTCAACACGTCATACACTTCTTGTCATTACAATGACTGCAGTCTCCTCCAGGTACCATCAGGTCTGAGTATTTACCTTGCGCTGTAAATCTTACATTCCCCCATGTGTCTTCTGCTACCTTCACCTCCCCTCCCTCTTGTTGGCTATTGCCCGCCCCAGATGGGCAGTGGGGTTCTGTAGAGGGGATGCACATCATCCCTGCTAAGGGCCTGAACTCAGGCAGCAGCAATGGGGATGGAATGTGGAGATGCTGAAGGGTTGTGAGTCAGCAGAGTGGCTAGGACAGGAGCGTGTGCCAAGACTGCCTGGTTGCTGCCCTGGTCTCCATGGAGATGCCCACTCAGACAGAGAAGCCCCAGGCAGACATGTGTTTTGGGGAAAGTGGCCTTGACCAGGTCAGTGCTGCCCATGGTGACTGCAATGCTGGAAGAAACACAGCTACTTTTATTTTTTTGCGTTGTCTTATTTCTTTTAAGGAGCTTTGATAGCATAGTGGTTACGAATCGGGTTGCGAACCACAAGGTCAGCAGTTCAAAACTACCAGCTGTTCCGCGGAAGAAAGATGAGGCTTTCTGCTCCGTAAAGATTTACAGCCTTGGAAACTCTGTGCAGGGTCACTATGAGTCGGAACCGACTCCACGGCACACAACAACAACAACAACAACCTTTTCTCTTGGTTTGGTTTCACAAGAGAGAAATAATAAACACACATTACTTACTTTAAAAATATTTATTTCTAAAATAATGAGTTGAAGCAAACTTATGTGTCTTACTCATTAGCAGGATAGGAAACCTTGTCTACGACTAGACACAAGCTTTCATTACTCGTCTATCTCCAACATGACTGTGTAAACCTTCCAAGGTAGCAGGGTCACAGGGTCTTAGCTCAGAACAACGTATGGGAATGTTTTCCCTTGTCTTCAGTCATCTGCCAGTCAATTCCCTAGTTGTCAGGGTAAATAGGTTCTAATCCACTGCTGACACAATACATTTTGATGCTCAATGGTCCCAGGTTTGGCCAGTGGGGACCCCCTACAAGCTGGCTACTGTTCTTCTGACATGTCCCCACTATATTTTGTGTATTTTGCACTTTTAGGCACAAGATGTTGCACTTTTTCTGTCCCAGTCCTGGAATCAGGAACCAACCATCTATCTAGACAAGGAGTGGAACATAGTTTAAATCCTTACAATTTGTTTTTTAAGAAGCATGTTTTAAAATGATTTTTGTTTATCATGTGCTTGAAAAAATGCTATTTTAATGTCAGTGATTTTCTAGTGCCGTAAAATATTTCCCTACAAAGTGATACCACGAGACTCTGATCTTGTGAGCAAGATTTTACAGGTTACACTAGTTTTTAAGAACAAAAACTACTGACTTGGCAAGGGATGAGTGTATTTACCCTTATTTAAAAAAACAACAAGTGAAATAAAAATCAGATCAGTATTTTTTTTTAAATCTATGTAGACCCTTTATTCTGTTTCTAGATAGAATATTACAATTTACATGTTATTTTTCAGATAACTAAGGAGCTCTGGCAGCGTAGAGGTTACGAATCGGGCTGCGAACCTTAAGGTCAGTGGTTTGAAACTACTAGCTGCTCCGCGGGAGAAAGATGAGGCTTTCTACTCCCGTAAAGATTTACACCCTCGGAAACCCTGGACAGGGTCGCTATGGGTCGGAACCGACTCGACGGCACTTAACAACAACAAAAATATACATTTAAGTAATTGAAATAAAATACACAAGACATTTATAAGCGACCTAAAGACAGAATGAGAAACCTGTAATGCATTTTCAGCTTGTTTTGCCACATTAGGAACAACAGGGACACTGGAATTGACACTGATCTTGAATATCAATTACTGTTTGTAAATACTGTACCTTTCCAGAGAGAATATCATGCAAATTTCAGAAATGAGTGAAGTCGGATTTCTAGCCTATTAAAATCTAACACATTACTTCAATCTGAGTGCTCCTGGCAGAATCTAATGTTTGTTTTGTAAAAGAATACTTGTTCTTTCAAATAAATTCTTTAATAAAACTTATTAATAGTAAGAAATTACAGATTCAGTAACAAGTACAAGATATATTACAAAGAAAACCAATGAAGACTGAAGATGAACATCTAGTACTTAAAACCCTCTAGCTCCTAGCATTTGGAGCAACAGAATGTCCACATAATTTTTAAAAAAGATTTTTTCCAGCTTGTTTCCAGACTTCTTTTACTCCTTTAATGCTTTCTTTTTTCACACATTTCCAGTATTCTTGTACACTTAGCTGCTGTGGTACCTGTGGTCAAAAGCAAAGGTTAAGAGGTCAATCTCTTCAATATTAATGATCATTTGCTGCGTATTTTACATAACTGTATTTCACAGAGAGTGTCTGAGGTAAAAGACTTTATAAGGCTAATGGGAAAAAAAGTAAGTGTCAGATAAGAATGCCTTTAGGAGAACAAGGAATGGGGCTGACCAAGTAGAAATGAGTGGTACTCTTTCTCTAAGAAGAGAATGAAAATGTTCAGCAATTTTCTTTCATATTGTAAGTGTTCTTTCATGTTGTTGTTAAGTGCTGACGAACCACAGAGACCCTGTATAGGGTTTCTGAGGAGCAGCTGATGAGCTTGAACCACTGACTTTGCAGTTAACCCACAGCGCATTAATTCACAGTACCACACCAGGACTCCTTCCTTCATATAGTGGTTTTAAAAAGAATTATTTTATAATGTTTTCTGTTTTTAAAAAAATGAACTTTATTTAGCTATGTGGAACAACAGTTATAAGCCTAAAATTCTGATTTAACCTTGATTAAAATGAAAAAGAAACTATAGGTCACAATGCATTCTCTTATAGAGAAATAACTGAACTCACCACATAAGTTCTTTGTGAATGGAAAGTTTTGTGCGATTATTACCTTTCTCAACAAAGTGAACAAGTTAAAGGAGCGACCACAGGAGTACAGTCAAATGGAAGCCAAGGTCTTCCTTAGGTTACAGAACTGTTTTTCCCATATCTGATTTATAGTGCTTCTCCTCAATGTTTATTGAGAAAGGGCAAAGAGGCTCCTGGTATCAGAAACTATTCACCACAGCTTGGTTCAGTTCTCAGGAGTCTCACCAGGACCTATGTGGTGCTGAATGACCACAAAGCCTGTAAAACATGTTGGCTACTAGAAAGCACGGTATTTGCAGCAAGAAGCTGAATTTGTTGTTCTCAGCTGTCCATAGAGAGCCGTGGCTCCATGAACTCCTCACTGTCCATCTCTTTTGCCGGTATCCCCTCCCGCCCCCTGTCCTTCCATTCACACTAACTCCCTGCCTACACGGCGATTCTCTCGGGATCTAGTTTTCCGGCAAACTGTTTATATGACAGTCCCTCTAGCAGATTCTAATCTGCTGTCTGATTGTGTCCACAGCGTAGATTAACGAGTGAATTTCAGTGAATAACAACAATCATCTAGAGACACATTATCAAGCTTCTTTCCCATAGTGCTGCTGGGGGGCTCGAACCACCAACCTTTAGGGTTGGAATCTAGTGCAAACTATTGGCACCATTCAGGAATCTTTTAATTTCATGTAAACATGTAATTATTTAAAATCCATTACCCATAAACCTCGATGCATTCTGTTTTTCAACACCCCCAGAAACTCTTCGTGGCTAAGACATTCATCCCCGTCCACGTCAAAGATCTTGAAGACAGTGTCCAGAATGTTGTTGGAGAGCTCCTGTCCTGTAGCAACCTTCACAGCTCTCTTAAACTCCGCTAAGAAAGCAAACACAAAACAGCCCATCAGTCATGGGCAACAGCCCCAGGGCAATGAATCTAATCTTTCATCATTTATGCAGTTAAAACTAACATACATTTTTATCATTTGGGAAGAAAACTGAAAACAAACAAAAATACCCATTAAGAAAATATCCAAATTACAAATTTGTATAAAAAACAACGACATGAAAGTAACTGGAAGGTGAGTAAATGATGTTAATCAATATTTTAAACATAAATATTAAAGTATTTTCTCCTTTTTAGGAGAAAATGAGAAAGCAAAAAGCATCTAAAGTAACTGTTAAAAGGGAGTGCTGGTGCTGTAAACCCAGAATAACCCCAGTGAATTTATAAGGCCCATTACTAATTTTCCTGATAACTGGCTCTGTGGTTGGTACCACCTAACTGAAGGATAGAGTGAAATTGCTGTAGGAGATAAAAGTGAAATGGTGACATCACTCACCGAGCTTGACAGGACGATGAGCTAGACTAAACATTTGCATGGCAATCGCAAAGTCTTCCAAGTGGGTTGTAAAGTGGCAAAATGATTTGAACTCATCCAAACTAATGTTCTAATAAAAAGACAAAAGTCAGTTTTTACTATAATTTTATAAAGAGAATAAACAATAAACAAACAAGTAAAACCTAGCTTTTCGATTGAAAAAGTAATAAAATAATAAAAATCCCTAATCTGAAAGGAAAGTTAAAAAAAAAACAATCGAAAACAACAAATGCTGGAGAGGTTGTGGAGACTATGGGACCCTCCTAAACTGCAGGTGGAACTGTCAAATGGTGTAATTGCTGTGGAAAATGATCTGATACTTTCTCAGAACATTTGAAATACAAATACTGTATGAATAAGGTGTGGTACCACAGGATAAGCACTTGACCTCAAGGTCGGTAGTTCAAACTCACCAGCTGCTCCTTGGAAACCCAACACAGGGTTGTTATGAGTCGGAACTGACTTGATGGCACTTAACAACAACCACAGTGATGCAGCAATTTCTCTACTTGATATATATCCTTAAGAAATAAGAACCATGACATGAAGAGATATATGCACACCTATGTTGATTACACCATCATTCACAAGAGCAAACAGACGGAGACAGCCTACACGGCCATCAGCAGATGAAAGGTGAAACAAACTGTGGTACACACACAATGGGATACCATGCAACTCTGCTGAGTAACGAGGAATCTGCGGAACACCACATAACATGGAGGAACCTGGAGGACATTATGCTAAGTCAAACTAGTTGGTTGCAAAGAGACAGATACTGTCTGAGGTCACTAAAAAAAAAAATGTCCATAGCAGATTTCATTCTACAATAAACTTTCTACGATGGTTACTAGGAGTGAGAGAGAAGGCAACAATACACACAAACAAATAAAAACCTAGTTTTTCTATTGAAAAAGTAATAAATAACAAAAATCCTTCATCTGAAAGTAAATTCCTCGTCAGAACAAGTTGTTCTTTGTAGAGACCGTAGGAATCTTGCCCTTTGCACATGTGTTGTCTTATTCAAATTTTACTGCTTTAAGCTTTTGTGAATATATGACATTTCTTATTTTTTAAAAAACTTAAGTTCTGAAGAAATTTTTAAGTAACATATTTATACACGGTAAAAAACTCAAATACTACACAAGGAAAAAAAAGAAAATCTTCCTCTTTTCAGATTCCCCATTCCATTTCATAGAGGTAAGTATTACCAAGTTCTGTGTCTCTATGTGGAGTTCTGATGTGGCGTTGTGGGTTAATGCGCCAGACTGCAAAGCTGTTTGAACTGCAAGGTCGGCGGTTCAAGCTCACCAGTCACTCCTTGGAAACCCTATGTAGGATCGCTATGGGTCGGAACCGACTCGACGGCACTTAATAACAACAGCAACATGTCTCTAGAAGTAGTTGACTCAGACAAAAGCACACATATCTGCATCTGTATCCTTGATGTACATAGTGGCAGCCCCCTCGTCAGACCTTTCTGCAGAAAACTAAAATCCTTACAACTGGACCAGAAAATAACATCATAATAAATGGAGAAATGATTGAAGTTGTCAAAGACTTGATTTTGCTTGGATCCATTATTAACACTCATGGAAGCAGCAGTCAAGAAATCATACAACACATTGAATTAGGCCAATCTGCTGCATAAAACCTTTTTAAAGTGTTGAAGAGCAAAGATGTCAGCTTGAGGACTAAGGTGCACCTGACCCAAGCCATGGTATTTTCAATAATCTCATATGCATATGAACGTTGGAATGGATAAGGAAGACTGTAAAAGAACTGATGCATTTGCGTTGTGGTACTGGAGAATATTAAAAGTACCATGGACTGTCAGAAGAACAAACAAATCTGTGTTGGAAGAAGTACAGTCAGAATGCTCCTTAGAAGCCAGGATGGTCAGACCCATCCCTGGAGAAGGACATCATGCTTGGCAAAGCTGAGTCTCAGCGAACAAGAGGAAGGTCCCCAACGTAAATGGACTGACACAGTGGCAGCAGCAATGGGCTCAAACAGAACAGTCATTGTGAGCATGGCCTAGAACTAGGCAGTGTTTCCTTCTGTTGTGCACAGAGTCGCTATGAGTCAGAATTGACTCCACAGCACCCAACAACAATAACAACAAATACCAAGTAATATAGTCTATGTTCATTTGGAAATTAATTATACAAATGAGCTTACTTTATTATTTCATCTTTAGCATATGTATAAAAAAGGGCATACGAACCTCTCCTGTTGACAACTTCTCTCTCACATTCTTCCAATAAATGTCTTTATTTCCAGTATTAGTGAAAAAAAGGAGCCATTCGGCAAAGTCTTCTTTTCTCATGAAATTTAAACCTCTAGAAAATTGAAGGAATTCCATTTCTTGGACCTCTGTTTGTAGATTTTCCATAAATCTTAAATGTCAAAATGCAAAATTGATAAAAGAGACACAGTAAATGCAAAATTGATATGAGGCACACAGTAGAATTTCACCTTAATTTTATAAAGCCATTACATTATTATAATAATTATCATGATTTTGTAATTAGATTTTACTTTTATTATTCATTTAAGAAAATTATACCACTGAGGTGCTCTTTGTCAATGTATTAATTAATGGTTGTTTTTAAGTGCCAGCGAGTCGGTTCTGACTTACAACGACCCTGCATAGGGTTTCTGAGGCTTCAAATTTTCTCAGGAGCCGAAAGCTTCTCATAGAGCAGCTGGTGGGCTCAAACCTTGGACCTTGTGGTTTGCAGCCTAGTGCTTATCACATGGAGTCACCACACTCCCCTATGTATTAATGTTGTTGTTGTTGTTGTTAAGTGCCGTCAAGTCGGTTTCGACCCATAGCGACCCTGTACAGGGTTTCCGAGGCTGTAAATCTTTATGGGCAGTTAACAGAAATGCTGTAGTATTGATGGGGTGCTGTTTGTCTTCCAACCATGAGAATGGAATGGCTTTCTCTGTATGTCACTCCCTTTTAGCTTCTTACAGCAGTGCGTCAGACTTTTTCCTAGGTATATTTCTTTTGGGGCTATTGTAAACGGTACTGATTTTTTGGCTTCCTTTTTGGAGTCTTCATTATTAGTGTAGAGGAACTCAACTGATTTTTGTATGTTGATCTTGCCTCCTGCCACTTTGCTGAACTAACTTTTGTGCGGACTCTCTGAGATTTTCTATGTACAGGGTCATGTGAATAGTGCCTCTTCCTCCCTTCCCAATCTGGGCACCCTTTACCTCCCTTCCTGGCTTGACTGTGCTAGCTAAGACTTGCAGTAGAAAACGGATTCAGAGTAGCTAAAAAGGCATTTTTTTGTCTTATTCCTGTTCTCAAGAGGAAGGCTCTCAACCTTCCTCTGTTGAAATTAGTGTTGGCTGTTTGTTTTGCATTTGTTGTTGTTGTTGAGTGCTGTCGAGACAATTCCAACCCATAGCGACCCTGTATAGGGTTTCCAACGAGCAGCTGGTGAGCTTGAACCACTGACCTTTGCAGTTCAAATGACTTTGCAGTCTGATGCATCAGCCCACAGCGCTGCATACCTTTGTGTTGAGGAATTTCTCTTCATTCCTATTTTGCTGAGTTTTTATCTTGAAAGGGTGTTGGACTTTATCAAATACCCTTTTTTTTTTGGTATTGACTGAGACAGTCATGTGATACTTCTAATGTTGAATAACCCTTGCATCCCTAGTATGAATCCCACTTGCTCATGATGTGTTATTTTTTTATATACCACTCCGTTGTGTTGGCCAGAATTTTTGTGTCTACTCATCAGGGAGAGGTTGTAATTTTCATGGTCTTTAATTTTCTTTTTCAGTGGTGTCTCTGCCTGGCTTTGATATCAGCGTTGTCTTTACAGAATGAATTAAGGATTATTCTTTTTATTTCTATTCTAATAGTTTCAGTTGAGTTGATATCAAGTTTGCTCTGACTGCTTGATAGAACTCTACAGTGAAGCCATGTATGTCAGCAATTTTTAAAAACTCTGGGTGATGATGTCATATGTCTTAATCTCATGCTGTTTGATGTCATTGATTTTCTGTCCAAAGGACTCCCTTTAATATTCTTGTGAGGTGGGTCTGGCTTTTACAAATTATTTACTTAACTACTCATCATCTGGGAATGTCCTAGTTTCACAATCATTTTTGAAAGACAATTTATATATGACATCTCACTGTCTTCTTGCCTGCCTGGTGTCTGCCGAGAACTCAGAGCATAGTCTTACTGGTTCTCCTTTGTGTGTGACTTGTCATTCTTCCTGAGCTGTTCTCAGGATTCCTTCTCTGTCTTTGGTTTGGGAGGTTTGATTATGATATAACTTGGTTGATTTTCTTTTGGGCTCTAGCCTGCTTGGGGTTTGTTCAGCTTCTTGTATACACATCCGATCACCCAGAAGTTGTTTCTCTCCATAGTGTCCCACATAAGTCTTAGATTTTCGTTGGATTTTTTTCATTCTTTCTTCTGCTTGTTCTTCTGGCATACTAATATTGAGAGATTTATCTTCAAGCTCACTAATGCAGGTTTCCATTGCTTTGCATCTGTTTCTCTGTTCTTACAATGGATTGTCTATTTCCAAAATCTGAGCATCAACCTTCTGGATTTCTAATTGCAGGTTTTATTTTTCAGAAATCTTTCCAAAATTTGCATTTTTAGAAAGTTTCAATTGTGAAGTGAGTGACAGTTTACATGGGAGAACACTGAGAATATTGGCTTTACACCATCGTTTCATTGCAATGATTACAATTGCCTCTGTGCCTCTTCATTCAACAGGATTTTCTTCCATTCCCTGTATTTTTTTTTGGGGGTGTGTGTACACAAAAGCACTCAGGAATATATAGTAATTTAAAGAAACAAAGGGCACTGTCTGTTTTTGTAGTATTTTCCTGAAATTTTCTAAAGTTTTTATTATGTTCTCCTTGCTTTCCTGGATCTTTCTATAGCTCCATTGAAGGTATCTATCAGTCTTTTGAATTCTTTTTCAGTTAATTCCTCTACCTTTTCTTCCTCAGAAATGTTTTATGTTTCTCCATCTTGATAATTTGTTTGAGCCATTCTTTCTTGTTTCTCTGCGTGAGCTAAAATTGTCTGTTATCTATGGGGCGCTGTGGGGTTGTTTGTTGTTGTTGTTAGGTGCTATTGAGTCAGAACTGACTCATAGCGACCCAAACAATGCCCGGTCCTGGGCCAACTTCACAATTGTTGCCACGCTTGAGCCCACTGATGCTGCCACTTTGCCAATCTTATAAAAACAAACAGTGCAGTTGTTGGACCTGGAGGGGAGAAACCTCTGGGGAAGTCTCGCAATTGAAGGAGCTTACAAGGTGGATATAGAAGGAATGTGATAGCACAGTTCCTATTGACCTCGGTGTTATCTGTGTTCAGAGCACTTAATCCAGAGAAAGAAGACATCGCACCGTTTCCATCACCTGTGTGAATCTGCTCTGCCAGGCCTCCCTCCACTGCCAAAGCTACTCACAAGATGGTCAAGCTGCGTCAGTCTCCCTCTCCCATTGTTCCTGCTGGGCCTCTTTTCCTAGCAAACACTCTGGCCACCTCTCTAATCTTTCTTCTGAAGGTCAGGGTGTCAGAATTTTCATCTGTGTCTATTTTGTCTCTCATATCTTTGTTGTAGAGGGTTCGTGTAGTGCACCTGCCTAGTCTGTGATCCTGTCAGAAGTTCTGTGATTGGTTTTTGCTTCTCTAAAATGTCCTGAAGTCTAACCCCTGTATCTATAGATGTGGCCCCATTTGGGAAGAGGGTTTCCTCTTTGGTTATGTTAATGAGGCCAAACCAGTGTAGGCTGAGTCCTAAACCTAATGTTTTCTGAATTATAAAAAGAGGTTGACAGGCACAGAAACGTATCTGTGGAAAACAGATAAAGCACTCACAGGGCGACCAGCAAACAAGGCCCTTGGCCTAGAACCCATGGCCTGATTCGGACTTCTAGCCTCCAAACATGAGAGACAATAAACTCCTATCTGTTAAAGCCATGCACTGAGGTGTCTGTGGTATGGCAGCACTAGGTAACCAGGACAGTAACTTGAATTTGTAGGTTTAGTGTTCAGAGACAAATACTATATAGACTCACAGATAATATTTAGTTATATGGTCTGCTGTTGTTGTTGTTAAGTGCTGTTGAGTCGGTTCTGGGTCACACTGACCCTAGATAGAGTTTCCATGGCCATAAATCTTTACGAGAGCAGAAAGTTTCATCTTTCTCCTGCAGAGCAGCTGGTTGGCTGGAGTAGCTGAACTTGTGGTTCACAGTCCAGTCAGTGCTTATCTTTCAGAGCCATCGTGCTCCCATATGGGCTGTTGTTGTTGTTGTGAAGTGCCGTCAAGTCAGTTCCGACCCATAGCAACCCTGTATAGAGTTTCCAAGGAGCAGCTGGTGAGCTTGAACCACAGACCTTGCAGTTCAAATGGCTTTGCAGTCTGGCGCATTAACCCACAGCGCCACCCCAGGACTGCAGTACTAGGAAATTGATATATTCAATTGCTCTTTCATTACTCAGCTATGGTATTTTCCTTAATGAATATACACACTGCATTTACCTTCGAAACTCTTTATAATGAAGTTTTTTCTCTCCTCTTTTTCCAAAGAAACGTAACTGAAGAGTTGTATTAATGTCAGATTCTTTCACTTTAGGATCCTATAAAAAATGATACAGTAATTTCATATAATTATCAATCAGAACAAAATGGATGCTATAGACTGGAACTTTCAGGACAATGTCTACATGTGATTATTGTAGCATACCAAATAACAGTTACTAAATAAGCATTTTTGTTTATACAGGTGAAAACCAATGAGGTCTAAACTACCCAAGGTAGGATTCAGCAGTAAACAAAATCTTAGATCATACCAAAAGATAACTTAGAATTATAATTTAAAAAGTACTGCATCAAATTGTGACCCTACGTAATTTTTAATGAGGCAACATTCAGAGAATTAAAGCAGAAAAAATCTTTGAACTTTTGCTAAATGTTAGAATGACTTGGAAAACATTTGCTTTGCCTAATTATAATGTTGTTGTGAGCTGCTGAGTTGGTTCTGACTCACAGTGACCCTGTATACAGTTTCATAGAGCAGCTGGTAGGTTTGAACAGTGGACCTGATGGTAGCAGTCCAGTGCTTATCCTACAGTGTCACACCAGGGCTCAACTGTATAACTTTGTTGTTGCTGTTGTTAAGTGCGATTGAGTCAGTTCTGACTCATAGCAACTCTCTACAGGGTTTCTGAGGAGTGGCTGGTGGGTTTGAACTGCCAATCACGTGGTTAACAGTCTAGTACTTATCCTACAGCGCCATACCAGGACTCCAATTGCTGTTGTTGTTGTTGTTAAGTGCTGTCAAGTCGGTTCCAACTCATAGTGACCCTGTATAGGATTTCCGAGGAGTGGCTAGTGGATTTGAACCACCAACCTTGTGGTTAGCAGTCCGGTGCTTATTCTACAGTACCATACCAGGACATCCTTATAACATTGTTGTTGTTAAGTGCAGTTGCGTTGGTTCCAACTCTTGGCAGCCCTGCATAGGGTTTCCAAAGACTAGGTGAGTTTGAACTGCTGACCTTGTGGCTTACACCGACCTTGTGTTGCAGTACTTTACCCCACAGCGCCACACCAGGTAAGAATGTAATGGAAAGGCAATGGAATTACAAACTCAGAATCTTCTTCTCTCCAGTCTCATACAACAAACAGCAGAAAGAATGGCAGAACAAAATGACGTCAACAAAAACGTATCCCAGCAACCAAACAATGAAAGGGGCACAACCTGAAGCCCAATGTTCTGAGACACAGCAATTAGAGAATGCAAAAGTCGATCCAGATGTTGGATGGTTCACCATGTCCCCAACCTTACGTCTCAGACATGGTGGTGGTGGTGGTGGTGGTGGTGTGCCATGGAGTTGGTTCTGACTCATAGTGACCCTGGATAGGGGTTCTGAGGCTGGAAGTCTTCACGGGAGCAGAAAACCTCCTAGTAGTAGGGGGTGAGATTATTATGAGAACTTCATGAAACCTTCAGTCTGGCCATCAGTGGATTGGCCAAACGGGACCTGGGCTGTGGTCTAGGACTTGTAATGGGATCACATAATAGAGATTGGAACCTGAAGCTCCAGCAAAAACCACATTCATTCAGCTCAAAGACCTCTCCTCCTGCCTCTATCCCATGCCTTCAGTCTCCAAGAAAGAGGGTCAAAATGCAACACTCAGCTCTCCAGGAGAATTCCACTTTGGGGCCCTCCGAGCGGACAGCAGGTGTGGACAGAGCACCAGCATGATGAACACGAGGAAAAGAAATAGCATGGGAACTAAGCAAGGTCATACCCGACCCTTTCCTTAACCTTTGGAAGCCATGAGTCAGTTCTCTAGGTCTATAATCTTGACATTTCAAATATTACATATAGTGGTGATGGTAGAACCACATGAAGTAATTAATGTCACTGAATTATTGTACTCTTTAAAAAATGGATAAATACATTTTTGTTTTATATATGTGTGTGTATATGTGTACATATGTGTGTGTATATATGTGTGTATATATGTGTGTGTATATATATGTATGCGTGTGTATATATATGTGTGTGTGTATATATATGTGTATATATGTGTGTGTATACATGTGTGTATACGTGTATATATGTATGTGTATATATGTGTGTATATATATGTATGTGTATATATATATGTGTGTGTGTGTATATATATGTGTGTTGTTGTGTGCTGCCTGCCATGTTGATTCCAACTCACATGGACCCTGTATAGGGTTTCTGAGGCTTGTCAATCTTTGTGGCATCAGAAAGCCTCATTTCTGTCCCTTAGAGTGGATGGTGGGCTTGAACCACCAACCTGTGGTTCGAAGTTCAGTACTTATTCTATGGAGATACTGCACTCCCATCAAACCCTCAGCTGCTCCTCGAAACCCTATAAAGGGCCCCTGTGAGTTGGAAGCAACTCATCAGCATTTAACAACAACAAAATTTATCTAATACAGAGTTGTGGTGTGGTACTGAAGGATAAGCACTGAAACTCAAGGTTGGTTTGAGCTGTAAGGTGGCCGTTCATGCCACCAGCTGCTCCTTGGAAACCCTAAACAGGCTCACTATGAATAGGAACCGACGCGACGGTACTAACAGCAACAAGAATGCATACCAAACTAGGTTTCAAAGTCTGTGAAAAAATGTCATTATCTTTCAGTTCCAAACTTCCACAAACTTTTGAAATTCCCTTGTAGACACACACACATCTTGAGTTTCTGTACATGGTGAGAGATGTGAATCTTGTTTCATTTTTCTACAAATGGATGTTCAGTTTTGCCAGCACATTAAAGAAACTCTTTCCCATTTAATAGGTTTTTCATTTTTGCCTAAAGTCTATTTTATCAGAAATTAGTATTTGCCACTCCTCTTCTTTCAGTCATTTGCTTGATAAATTTTTTTCCATCTTTTGAGTTTTTAGCTGATCTTTGTCTCTGTGTCTATGGTGTGTATCTTGTAGACATATTAACAGTTCATGTTTACTTATCCATTCTGCTACTCTGTCTCTTGACTGGTGTATTTAACCCATGTGTACAATCAGTGTAATTATTGACAGGCATGAGTTTACTGCTGTCCTTTTGCTGTGTGTGCTGTTGATGGTTTCTTTATTCCATATATTTTTCCGTTCTGAGTTCATTTTGTTTGATTTTCTTATCATTTCCTTTTTTTGCTGTTGTTTCAGCATTTACTGGGACTTTATGATTTTCTTCTTTTTCATTTTGGTGAGAAAGTCGATTACTTTTCGTTGAGGTTACCTTTATCACTGTCTTTTGTTCTGCGTCACCTTGTCCTTCTTCTCTCTCTTTTCCTATTACTGACGTGACCTGTTGTTTCTGAGACATGGCGGTGCTGCTGTATCACATGCTGTCTCTGTGTTGGCTTCATCCTGCTTTCTGGGCAGTGGAGCACGCAGGCTATTCTGGTTGCCAGTTTGGCAGCACTGGGGTGCACCACCGGTCGCCGAGTGGATCTGGAAACAAGCTGGAGTGTTGGCAAATGTTGATGATCACTGAGGGCAGGCTGGGCAGCAGTTGGCCTCTTTCCGTTTGTCCTCTGTCTGTCTCTGAGAGTGGAATGGGTGGGGGCCCTTACCCAGCTGGTGGGGCTGTGGCTGTCTGTGGTGAATATGGCTGGATAGGGTCTCCGGCTCCTGACTAAAAACAGAAGGGGAAAGATGAAGAAAAGAGAGATGGTGGAAGACTTATGAAGAAAAAGAGCAGAAAAGGAAAAGAAAAATGAGGACAAAAGTGAAAAATACAAGACAGTGACACAGTATTGGCACAGACGCCACCCACCAACCCTAGCTGTGACTGGGATGCATCACTTGATGCCCGGAGTGCTGATGAACTGCTGAATGCAGGGCGGCGCACCTGTACCGTAGTGTTCTTTACAAAAGTGAGGAGGGGAAAGAGAGTAACACTGCTTGCCGTAATTCAAAGTGGCCACGCTAGGCTGGCTGGCTTTCCAGCTGTCTTCTTGCTCACTGTTTCCATTCAGTCTCCTCTTCTCATTGGTATCTGATTTACTTCTTTATCATTTCCTTTGAAGCTCTGGGTTCTAGGACCTGCATCTATCTCACTTGGTGTCTTGAATCTTTAGTTTAGAAGGTCGAGATTGCGTATCTGCGTAGTCTGCCATCTTGGATCTTCTGGTCTATTTTGTCTTTTTAAAAGTGGTGCACTTTCCATATAACGAACATACATATAGTTATAATTCATAATGGCTACTTATTCTACTGCATAAGGATCCCTGGGGGTGCAGTGGTTAAAATATTTGGCTTCTAATAAACAATTCAGTGGTATAAACCCATCAGCTGCTCTATGGGACAAAAATGTGGCAGTCTGCTTCTATCAAGATTTATCTCCGTGGAAACCCTAGGAGTTGGACTAGATCTGGCAGCAGGGAGTTTGCTATCCAGAGACTTTTGTTTCTCCATGAACTGAGTTGGTGTCGACTAGTTGACTTTACCCTGGTCCATCGAGCTACTTGTTTATCCTTATGCCAATAACCCAGTGTTATCATTAGTGTAGCTGGTAGTACGAATTGATAGAAAAGGAATGTGAGGTCTCCAGCTTTGTCTTTGCCCCTCAAGATTTATCTGGATTTCTGAGGTCCCAGCTTTTCCATACATGTCCATACTCTGACAGCATGAATGGCTCGGGGAGGAAACTATGTGGCTCAGAGGGAAACTTTGCTCCACACATTACTACTCTTCAGTACCTTTGGAAGCTTGAACCAAGTGAAGGGGGTACACATCTATTTAAAACATTAAAGTGCGAATACATTTTACCAACTACTCAGGAATACTTATTTGACTAACAGAGCAGGGATTATAAATACCATGTTTGGAAATATTCACTTGAACGTACCAGGTATTCTGTATCATGAGTTGTCGTTGTCTTGAAGTCATCTTGTTTACTTATGATCTTCTGCAGCTAAAAAGATTGTGAAGAGAAGTTTACACAAGCGCCTAGTGGAAGTTTCAAAACAACCTGGAAACGGATCTCACTGTTTATTATGAAATATCTATTAGCAATTTGTTAGACACTAGCTCAAAGTTCTTTCTGCATTAAAGTCTTTATATACACATACAGGTATATATGTATGGATTTCAAACTCCTGATATTTTTTTCTTTTCCTTTTTATATTCTATACAATTTAAAGGAGAAATAGATACAGAAGTATGACTATTATCATTTGGCTCATTTTTCTCCTACCTAACTTAAACACATGTATGTATTAGAGCATCACTCTATTAAAACTTCATGATTACTCTGGCCTTTCTTTCAAGACAATTTTTATTCATAATTTTTCTCTATTGATAATTTTATCATTGATAGTTTATGATCATATTTTTAAGAATACTGCCTTAAAAAAGTATTCATGCCATGCTCTTTCTTGCTTTGCACTGTATGCATTTACTAATCATTAAAATAATTTAAGGATTTCCATCAATTATATACAATTATCAGTATCACCGGGAGCACATTAAAAACCCACCTACCTTTCACAGAGTCATTTGTACCAATCCTCATATGGAAAGCAAATTAAAAAAAAAAAAAAAGTAATTAAAAAAAAAATCTAATGTAGATGAAATTCCAAACTATGAATTCGAATCAGTGAGCAGAAAAATCCTTGTGCAGTTTTTTCTGAGGCTTTTTTTGTTTTAAAGTTTTTTTGTGATAGTTTACATGGGAGAACATTGGTTTTATATACCCTGTTTCATTGCAATGATTACAATCTCCTCCGTGAATCATCATTCAACAGTATTTGCTTCCATTCTCTTTTTTTTTTGGGGGGGAGGGGGGAGATGTACACAAAAACACTCAGGAATATATAATAATTTAAACAATCAAAGGGCACATTTTGTAAGTCTGTGAGGCTATTTTTTTGGGTAAGATTGTGAATCATTCCAATTAAATTCCAAATTATCTCACACTTAGCTGCTTGTTCTATGTAATAGTTTATCTCTAGTTCCTCAGCAAACTTTTCAGCTCTTCCCAATCTCTGAATTTTTGTTCAATTTGTTGTTAATGCCGTCGAGTCGGTTCCAACTCAGAGCAATGCTGTACAGGGTTTCCAAGAAGTGGTTGGTGAGTTTGAACTGCCGACTTTGCAGTTCAAACCGACCTATGGTCCAGCACTTTATCCCACAGCGCTACACCAGGTATATTATCAAGTTCAACACCCTAACTTTTTTCCCTGAACTTTTTATTGTGGTTTGGGTGAAAGATCATTGAGCAAATTAGTTTCCCATTCAACTGTAAAAATTCTGTGTCATGACATCAGTTGCACTTTCTTAAATGTCACAGCACTCTTCCCACTTCCTCCCTGAACTTCCTGTTTCCATTCATCCTTCCTTCCTGCCCTCTGAGATTTGTTCTGGCCCGTATGGTTGATGATTTAGAGGAGCAAGTTCCTGAGGGGTGATCACTGAGTGGCTGCGATTCCAGGTTTGAAGGGTGGCTAAGGGCCATAGAACCTAGAGGTTCTACCAGTCTCTATCAGACAAGTCAGTCTGGTCTTTTGTTATGATTTTGAATTTTGTTCTATATATTTCTCCCACTCTGTCTAGGGCCATCTCTTGTGCTCCTCATCAGAGAGGTCAGTGGTAGATGCTGAATTCCATCTCAGTCTTCGGGTCTTGGACTAGTGGAAGCTGTGGGTCAAGTGGTTCATTAGTCTTTTGGACTTACTGTTTCCTTGAGTCTTTGATTCTTCACTCTTTGTTCTGGATGGGGACAGACCACCAGTGGTATCTTAGATGGCCACTCACAAGCTTTGAAGATTCTAATTGCTACTCACTTAAGTAAGATATAGAACATTGTCTTTATGGATGATGTCATGCCATTGACCTAGATGTCCCTGAGACTATGGTCCTCAGCCCTCAAGCCTAGTGACTTAGTCACTAGGTGTTTGGTAATAGCTAAAAGGTTTGTATAACTTTGGCCCCTGTATGTTCTACTACACAGATATATTTACAGCATATACAAATACATTACATAGAAAGATCTTCTGCCAAACCTAATTATGATGGGGCTTCAAAAAGTCCATGGGAAAACAGAATTTCCCCACAAACTTTTTGTAGGCCCTTTGTATTCTTGTGGGTGTGTTCCCATACATCATCCCACCTGCTCAATTTACTTATCTACCTAAGTACCCAGTTGTAAATTACTGTTTGTTGTAGGAAAAGGTGTAGGATAAGCACTGGACTGCTAACTGTAAGGTCAGCAGTTCAAACCCACCAGCCACTCCTCCGAAATGCTATACAGGGTCACTATGAGTCAGAATCGGCAAGACGGCACTTACCAACAACATTACTATTATAATAGGATTGTGTATGTAACAGTATTTACTGTTGCTGGCTTTTACTTCTGCGTACTCCCAGCGTCTTCCTTTGCCCTGGTCATATTGTGTTGTTCTTCCCACTTAATATATGAACTCATCCAAGTTCATATATGTCTACTATCTAGTTAGTAATTTTCCCTCCCACACTTTCCATCCCTGGTAACTATAAAGAATGTTCTGTACGAAAATCTTTTCTTGACTTTTTATAAAAGTGGTATCATATAATATTTGTCTATTTGTGATTGACTTAGTTTACTCAGCATAATGCCTGCCAAGTTCATCCATATTGTGAGATGTTTGTTAGATTCACTGTTATTCTTAATGTATTCCATTGTGTGTATGTACCCTAGTTTGTTTATCCATGTATCTGTTGATGGGTATGTGGGTAATTTCCACCTTTTCGCCATTTTGAGTAATGCTGCGTTGGACGTGGGTGCTCATATACCTGTTCTTGTCGTGGCTTTTATGTCTGAATGCTAGATACCTTGTGGGGTTGATAAATCATATGGTATCTCTCTTCTCACCTTCTTTTTATGCTTCCTGCATCATAAATATTTTGCCTAGGTTGTTGTTGCTGGGAAGTGCCGCAGAGTCAGTTCTGACCCATAACGACATAAGTAGGCTTGCTGAGGAACGGCTGGTGGTTTGAACCACCGACCTTGGGCTTACCCTACAGAGCCACACCAGGATTCTATCTTGAGTTTTAAGACCAGTTTGGGAAGATGTACTATCTTAATGTTATTGAATCTTCTGTTCCATTATCATGGTCTGTCTCTCTGTTTATTTATGCCTCCTGGCATATCTGCCAGAACTGTTTGAAGTTTTTAGTGCATACTTTGTTAATTCTATTTGTAAATTTTATGACAGTTGATATCATACTAAGTAAAACCAAGTTTAATTTCATTTTCCAACTGTTTGCTATTACTTTATAAAAATACAACTAATTTTTACTTATAACCTATCCAGTGACATTGTTAAATTCATTTCTAGTGCTAGTATTTTTTTTTTATTTTGTTGTTGCCTCTTTGTTGTTGTTGTTTATTGCTGTTGAATCGGTTCTGACCTTGTGTAGTGTTTCCGAAGAGCAGCTGGTAAGCTTGAACCGCTGACCTTGCAGTTCAAACAGCTTTGTAGTCTGGCGCATTAAACCATATTTTTACCTTTCATTTAGTTTCTTGAATTATTGTAATCTCTAAGACTTTCAGCAGTATTCTGAATCCAAGAAGCGAAAACAGACATTCCTGCCGTCTTCCGGATTCAGCATCTCACCTTTTAGCATGATGCCATTTACAAATATTTTATAAATGCCTGATATCAGATTGAGGAAGTTCTATTTTATTCTTTCTTTGCTGAGTTTGATCATGAAAGTATTTTGTTCTTTATTCTGTTAATATGATGGATTATAATGACTGTTAAAGGTTAAACTAATTTGTATTCCTTAGATAAATCTCACTTGATCATAATATATTATTTTATACAGTGTTTGAAGTCATTTGCTTGTCAAGTACTTTTATGTTGTTGTTTTTAAATTTTTCTTTCATGAGATGCACTAGTATATAACATACTTTTCTTGTTAGGTCTCTGACAAATTTTAGTTGTTACGGTTATTTATACTGGTATCATACAGTTGCGTTCCTTTTTTTGTGCATTTTCTGAAAGCTGAAATGCCTGACAGATTTCATCACTGAAACCACTTGGGACTAGACATTTCTTTGTGGAGTATTTTTAAAAATTAAAAAAAAAAATATTGTGGTAAAAAGAAAAATACGATATATTTGCAGTTTCAAAAATTAAAAAATTTTAGTTATTACAGTTATACTGGTATTATACAGTTGTGTTCCTTTTTTTGTGCATTTTCTGAAAGCTGAAATGCTTGACAGATTTCAGCATTGAAACCACTTGGGACTAGACAGTTCTTCGTGGAAAATTTCAATTTCTAAAATATTGTGATAAAAAGAAAAATACAATATATTGGCAGTTTCAACATTTTAAAACTTTTTTTTCATAGCACTTGGCATTACTTGAAAATTTCTAATTTATAGGTTTGTTTATCATTTCTAGCCCATTACAATGTAAGTTGAATGACAACAAAGACACTATCTGTCCTTAGCCAATAGGTCCCCAACACCTACAACAATAGGGTCATTGCACAGCAGTGGGCACTTAGTAAATTTCTATCATGAATCAGTGTCATGTACAGTCATTTTAGAAAGTATTTCGTAGACCACAAAGATCTTTGGCCTAAGAAAATGCCTGTTTATATTATAAGGAAAATATACAAATGTTATATTCCTTCAATGGCAGTATTACCACAGAGTTGAAACATTAGCACTTTAATATTTAAAGTACACTAGAACCTGTGATACCTTTCCTTAAATCCTAACTGAAATGTCTTGATAAGACCATTACATAACAAGGCTTTTCTGGTATTAAGTTTACTTGGGAGTCCTGCTTTCAGTTGTAGGATTAGCACTGGAATGTTAGTTAATCATAGGTCGGAGGTTCAAACCTACCAACTGCTCCTCAGAAACCCTATACAGGGTTGCTATGAGCCAGAACTGACTAGAAAGCACTTAACAACAAACAA